TGCTACCGCTTGAGCCACATCACCAGCCCCCAAAGACACATTTTTTTAATTTTAACAATTTATTTGAAAGTGCACTATAATCTCCTAGACTTAATAAAATTAGTCGTAACTTGATAGGATCATGTTTGGGTTTTTTTCTAAACATGTTATATATATAATATTATATGGAATATTTTATTGCAGTTTTATGGATTTTTATATAAAATTTTGACCACATATTTAAACCATTTTAGAGTATACTGGTGTAAAGGAAGTAAGGGCAAAAAATACTATGAAGCAGCAAATAAGTAAAGTTTAATTAGATCATTTACTTAGAGTTTTAACACCTGCCTCCAAAAGGAAACCATTCCTTGACTGCTTTTCCACACCTTACAGTACAGCTGGACTAGGGTAGAATAGCATTTCTTAAAGTAGAATTTGAGTTCACAGCGATTTCAGACTAAGGAACACAGGTTTTCTATAAGAATTTTAAGTGCTGTGTTTTATTAATATAACATTCAAGGTGATCTTTTAGCATAATTTTCAGTGATATTTCTCAGTTGAAGCTGATTTTATGTTTGCTTTGTAAGTCAGTGTTTATACACATATTGTTTAACAATTGTAATTTCTGGAGCTTGAAAGCCTTTTTTCTTTTTCTTACAGGGGTTCATGCTTTATTTAGTTGAGAGAAACACCAAATCAGAGAATTGGATAAATAATAAATTAATAATAAGTTTTAATGTGTGTGATGAAAGTAGAAAATTTATTAGCATATACAGAGTTTAACATACTTTTTTTCTGTAAAGGACAATAGCATTCTGGGCTTTGCAATTTGAGAAATAAAATAAAAGATATTTTGCAGGTACTTATATATGACTAGACAGAACAAATTATGATTTTATAAAAGTCTTTTTGATGTGTAAATATTGTTCAGAACTGAGGAAGACAAGACAGCAGGACTGAATTTGAACAACAAATCTTAGTTTGCTGACCCTGATATATACCAAAAACTACTTAAATTTGTAGTACTTTAGAATTCATCCATAAAACTCCTCTTTCTCCTTTCTAAAATGTGTCCTTCTTTGTCTAGAACAATGATGGCTTATGGTTTCATCCAGCAAATTTACTATTGTTGTACTTTACAGTTACATAACAGGTTTACCGTAGTTTCCAGAGTTATTTCTTACATTGCCCAGCTTCCCCTCTACTAATTATGCAAAATTCCCTTCCTTAGATCAAAAAAAGGTGGACTCTATGAGAAATGCC